CAAGACAAAATAGACTTTAAAACAAGGACTATAACAAGAGCCAAAGACCTAGTAATCCGAACAAACCCAAAATGCTACTTCGAGGAGACGTGCTCATCCATTTGTTCATTGCAGAATTATTTATTGTACATAAGCCAAGATATAAAGGCAGCTTGGGCATCCATGAATGGATGAATGGATAAAGAAGAGGTAGTACATATATGCAACGGAATATTACTCAGCTGTGAAAGAAAAACAAAATCTTGCCATCTGCACAACATGGATGGACCCAGAGGGTATTGTGCTGAGTATAGTAAGTCAGATAGTGAAAGACAAATGTCATATGATTTCATTTATAAGGAATCTAAAGAACAAAACAAACAAATGAAACAGAAACAAACTCATAGATACAGAGAACATTTTGATGGTTGCCAGATGGGAGGGGGATTGAGGGTGGGTGAAAAGGGGAAGGGATTAAGAAGTACAAATTGGTTGTTATATGGTAGTCATGAGGATGTAGCATAGGAATATAGTCAATAATATTGTAATAACTGTGTATGGTGTCGATGGGTACTAGATCTATTGGGGTGATAGATGGGAGGGGGTCAGGGGCAGGGTAAAAACGGTGAAGAGATTAACAAATACAAATTGGTAGTTACAAAATAGTCATGGGGATGTAAAGTATAGATAATATAATCAATAATATGGTAAAACTATGTATATTGCCAGGTGGGTACTAGTCAGAGGGATCACTTTTTAAATTATATAAATGTCTAGCCACAGGCCGGCCGAGTGGCTCAGCTGATTAAGAGCTCGCTTGGGAGAGCCAGCTCTGAGCAGCAGGGTCCCAGTTTGGATCCCACATGAGGGCCAGTGACACTGCCCTCTACAGCTAAGATGATGAACAACAGCTCAACCTGGAACTGGGCTGCTGTGAGTCGCCAGCGACGGCGTAGGCTGCAGCAGGGCTGCAGTGGGCTGCCATGAGCTACATGAGTGGCTGGCAGCCAGCAAGAGCGGCTGGCAGTGGGCGAGAGCTGCCGTGAGCCGCTGTGAGCGGCCGACCAATG